TTTTTTTTTTTTTTTTTTCGCTTGTTCTTTTCTTTTCCTTTTCTTTTCCTTCTCTTTTTCTTTTCTTTTTCTTTTCTTTTTCTTTTCTTTTTCTTTTCTTTTTTTTTTCTTTTGAATCCTTTTTCTGTTTTTTCTTGTTCTCTTTTTTTGAAGTTTTTCGTTTTTTTTTTTTGTTTGCTAACTTTGCTTGTTGGGTTCTTTTTTTTTGTCTTTTTATTTCTTTTTTAATATTTTTCCGTTTTTTCTTGTTTCTCTTTTTTTCCCCCTTTTTTTTGTTTGTTTGCTTGTTTGTTTGTTTTCCATGATCCCTCCCTTGCTGGGAATGGTTAGTGCGCGCACTGCTTCCGTCTTCACCCGAATAGAACGCCTGGGTATTAGAGCTGTATCTGGACAGAAAAGTGCACCAAATAAACGCCTGGGTATTAGAGCTGTATCTGGGCAGAAAAGTGCACCAAATACGGCTATAATGACCGGGCATTCTACTCGGGTGAAGACGGTAGTAGACGGCCCTTCCGGCTTTCTCGAGTTGACTCTTTCTTTTCCTTTTCTGGTTTGTTTGTTTTCCCCAATCCATCCCTTGTTCGCAATGGCTACTAGTGTTACGGCTTACTGGAGTCGTCTCTGGACGTGATTGCAGTCAGATTTGTTCAGGTCTGGATGTAATTGCGGTCTAATACATTCAGGAAAAGTGGTAGTGTGAGACAGATGAATCTTCCGCTCTGTAATTGCGGTCTGATACATTTGGAGAGAAGTGCTGGAGCGCAATCACGTCCTGAGACGACTCCAGAAAGCAATCACATCCAGACCTGAATGAATCTGACTGCAGTCACATCCAGACCTGAATGAATCTGACTGCAATCACGTCCAGAGACAACTCCAGAGAGCCGTAACACTAGTAGCCCTAACACTAACAGGTAGGTAGTGTTAGGGCGCAGAATTTGTACTCTGGATTTTTTTGTTTATTTATTATTATTTTTTTCCCTGCTGAAATTTGCTAAGAGCAGAGCAGGAGAGTTTGACCGTGCGTATCAGTTTTTTTTTTTTTTTTTTTCTTTCTTCCCGTTACTCGGTTCATCCTGTTGTTCTTTTGAGCGCGTCTGTCCGTGGGTCCGTTTGTTTGTCTGTCTGTCAGTGTGTCTGTTTGTCTGTGTGTTTGCGAAGAGCCAGCTCCTTCCCAGTACCCTCCCCTTTCACTCTATTTGTCAGTCTCTGAGGTAATCATTCACCACCTGTCAAAATTATACAGAATGCCAGGGGGAAAAAAAAAAAAAAAGTACTTAATATGAGAGGTATGTAGAGAGTTCGAGCCCTTAAGATTGAATTGTGTCTGCCGACCAAGCAAGTCACCAAGCCAATGAAAATTGCTGTCATGCTTACGGACTTGCCATCGCGGACTAAGCACTGACAATCTCATCAGTAATCGGGAAGGGGTCTATGCATCTGCACAACGCAGATTTCATTCTACGACATAGAGACAACTCCCGCCTAGGGGGAATTTAAGCCCATTTGCACTTGCAGTTGGATGCTCTCTGCTTGCATATTGATCCCCAACTCGGTCTCCCAAAAAAGTCCCGACTGTAAAGAAAAAAAAAAAAAAAAAAAAAGTCCGTACTGTTTGCAGCAGAGCTGTGAGACACAGAGTCACACAGCCAATCACTGTCTGTTGGAGTTTTCTGCGGCGGCTCCGGAGTTCGGACCCTGCGGTTTTCAGACCAACCAGTTCGTCAGGAGGATGACAACGACGCGCTTGGACGGTGGGCGAGTTGTCAGGCGGCGGTGATGTCCAGACAGGGCCCACGGCGCCTGGCTGCCAGTCTGCGCGCCATTTTGTGCTTTTCTGAGTGAATCAGCACAACCCTTTCACTGCGAGTGGACGGAGGCAAAAGGGGGGCGATGCTGGTTGCTTTCTGCATTCCAGCT